CTTCATCTGTTGTATTGAACTGCTGTAACATTAATAACATTAAATAAATAGTTCTTTCTAAAAATTGTGCAATGTTGAACTAAAAGTGAATTCCTATAGAAAAATTTAAAAAAACACCTAGAAAGAATGGATAAAGTCTTATTAAAAATATAGAATCTGTATGTATGAAACAATATTAATTATAGTCTGTAAACAATAATGCTACTATTAATACACAGTTTCTAATGTGGCTGATCTGATCTAAAATTTCAGTGCATGACTTAAAAAAAAAACAATAAAAAAAACAACAAACAAAAAAAAATCAGTTAAAAGATATAATTTAGGGTACTACGATTTAAAATTTTAATGCCATTAAAAGTAGCCTATCCACAACAATCCAAATGTTTTGTCATAAGTAATTAAAAAAAATATACATACTCATCATAAGTAGTGCCATTTTTCTTTTTAGCAGCATGTTTGAACTTATGCATGCCATACCTATTTGCATATAATTTTTGTGTTTTCTGCTTAAGCATGGATGTCTGTATATATTCCTGTAGCTTCTAAGGTTTGTTCCATCTTTTAGACCATACTACTTTTTAATGAAAAATGTGCAAACAAAATGAAACATTGATGGATCTGAAGATAAAAATACATCACTATCTTCTGACATGGTGCAATATCTCTAAGAAATACATCACTCTCATTTGACATGGTACAATACAACATCTCTTAGAAATACATCACTATCATCTAACATGGTGCAATTCAACATCTCTTAGAAATACATTATTATCATGTGACATGGTGCAACATCTCTTAGAAATTCATCACTCTCATCTGACATGGTGCAATATCTCTTAGAAATACATCACTCTCATCTGACATGGTGCAATACAACATCTCTTAGAAATACATCACTATCATCTGACATGGTGCAATATCTCTTAGAAATACATCACTGTCATGTGACATGGTGCAACATCTCTTAGAAATACATCACTGTCATCTGACATGGTGCATTACAACATCTCTTAGAAATACATTACTGTCATTTGACATGGTGCAATTCAACATCTCTTAGAAATAAGATTTTTCTGATAATACTTCAAGATATAATTATCTTCATTTTACTTTTCCGCTTTGCTAATTGTCATATGTTAATGTCTTGCATGATTAGTGTCCAGTTGGCCTGCTGCATTATTAGACGTAAAAGTTTTCTTTTCCATGTGCTACTGTATGCTCAGTCCAAGGAACATTTTTCTAATATCTTTGATAGAGTTTTTTAAAAAAGTAACTTGACCAATAACTTAGGGAGTACTGATCCGTTTTCTTGACATGTTTCTATTTCTTGACAATTTGTAATGATGCAAACTCTCCAGTTCTTGAACATTGCTATTTTTTATTGTTTTATTTTGTTCTTTTCTAAAAAATTTGCTATGAACTTGTCTGCTGAATATCAGTTCAAACAACATTTGATTGAAATATTAATAGATTTAAATAATTCAACCTTGATGATGCCAGCTCAATTTCTTTCTAGAAATATTTAGTATACTAGTTCTTTGTTATTTTCACACAAAAATATATTTTGTTTCACATGAATTGCTATTGAAATTGTTACTAACATTTTTAGTTATCTGTATTTCATTCTATTCTTTATAAAATATAGAAAAATACACATATATTTTGTATTATTTTATTCTTCATCATATTCTTTTATACCCGGTACATCTTTTGAACAATCTCTTCAGTAATCATTGTTATAACAAAGCTATTAATGATCTTTAACATTTCTGACCCAACTCTATTTCATTATATGTCATTTCATCCAGTTTAATGCTTGAAAACCATTTGCCAAGTGAAAAACATTTTACATTTTAAAAGCCTTCTAATTATCATAAAATATTCATTTAAATTTATTTTTAATCGAGCTGGTTTTACGAAATTTACAAAGACATCTATGTTTATGTTTCTTGCTTTTGCAATCATAGCTTTGTTCTGTTAACTAATCAAAGGTTTACAATAAAATGCTCATTAACTCATTTTTTAAATTCTTGTCAATACATCAAGACATTTTTTTTCTTGTTGGTCATTTCAACTTAGAATTAAAAAAAAAAATTTGGATTAGAAATTTTTAAACTTTTGTCAGTTATCTCAACCAGAACATTTTTTTTGCAAATTAAAATTTCCATTGGTTACTATTCCAATAGCTAGCAATGGGATTGATTTACCTTTTTTTTAAATCATGCTAACTAAAACTAAATCTAATAAACCCAATGTAAATTGTTTCTCTTTTGATCAGTGCCTCTATGAGACGCAGCTCACTCAGAGGAGAAAAGAGTAATCTCTTCAAAAAGGAAGCCCAAGAAGAAGCTCTCCATTTTGGCCTTCGTATGATGCAGGATGAAGAAGAATTGCCAGTATGTTCCCCTTAGATCTACTTTATTCCATTGACTCTTTGTTTACTAAATGGGAGACAACAAAGAGGGACAGTCAGTAGTAATACTGCCCTGTTTTATTCTTTTTGAACATCAAATTAAAAAAAAAATTACCACAAGGCTTACTTATTCATGTTTTCTTTAGTGCTTACCTCCCTTATTATCTTTGCTTTCCCTTTCTCTTGCTGATAATGAGACTCTCAAATAAACAACACACGTAGTGCCTCTGTGGGGAAACTAAGGGAGTTGTGCTATGGCCAAGTAGTAGGTTCTGTGATTAAGTCAGTGGTAGGGTATGGCAGAAATAAAACTCCACTCTGGTTTTGATTCCAAGTTAATTTCTCAATTGGTTTGAAATGGCAGCTGGTCAATGTGTTTCACATTACTTTGACCTCCTTCAAACATGGAGCGTCTATGGTTCATCTCATAGAAATGAGATAAAAGCCTGGGCATTAGCTATGGTAGAAACACTATCGCTTACAAAGAAGTTCCCTCTCTCTCTACAAGCATGAATTGTGTCCAAAGGAATGTCAGGTACTCGATACAATCTAGGATAAGCAGCATTGCAGGCTCTGACAGGATGTAGCACTGTACACTGCTAGCTAGCCACCAGCTGAAGATTTCTTCCATGTTTGGGTTTAAGCCTAAAGGCATCAGAGGTTTGGATTCTTGTTCTTCTAGGTGGGTAGCCAGCCAAGGCTAACAAACCCTTCTTGCCAGAAGCTTACTGGTTTAGTCACCAGTTGCTCGCCTTTTTCAGTGATAACAGTTCTGCAGGTCTCAATATCTGAGCCACATGTGAAGGCCTGCTTGTCATAGGTTATTTGAGACCCATGCCATTGAAATCATTTTATAGGTAGAGGAGAGCCACTTCTGGCTACAACATCTTATGGAACCATTGTTTGCTAGATAATATTGTGAAAAACAATGGGATTAAAAGTAAGTCAGAAAGGTACCCTTTTTTAGACTTTGAGATCTATAGGGCAGATGATGTAAAAGTCATATTTTTTTTGTGGCCCATGGTTGACAAGGGTGTTATGTGACCAGCGCAATGACCAACCACTTTTACTTTTCCCCAAATAATGTCAAGTATCCATTTCACTCAGAACCAATGTTCTAAATCTTTCAAATCATTCTTAAATTCTTATACATTTTTTCTCATAGTTTTTTTTTTTTTGGTAATATCTAAATGGGTATATACATAGTTTTGAACCTACTTTTTGAAACAAACTAAAGGAAAGGCCTAATGAATTAATATTTTGCTTTTATTACTTCTTAAAAAGATACTGTATAAGTTTTTGCTGTCTGCAATCCTCAGGCTGTCACAGAAGAAGCACCTCCCACGTCCAATATTGATGATGTGACATTGACATTTGATGATCATGACAACAAAAGACCTAAACCCTCGCCCGCTCCTCGTAACAGATCTGATCAAAATGTGCGCATCTCCAACAGTGCTAACCGCACATCTATAGACAAACTACCTGGTGGCAACACATCCCCTGCAGTGGCACAGAGGGGATCAAGGTCGCCGCCCCTTAACGATCCCAAGACGCCACCCCGGGAACCTGAAAAAGATCCAAAGAAAGATGCCCTTGAAGCTCACATCCAGAGTATGTTCCTTGAGAGCATCCCCAACCGCCAGAACAGGCAACCCCAGCTCCACTTCTACCCACCACCAATGATGGACAAGGCAAAGAATGGTCACAACAACAACAACAACGCCACAGGTGCTGGCCTTGGCCACCAACCAGCCAATGCGCCACAGTCTAGTTTCAGAGAGGGCCAAATACATAGGTTTGTGGCCCCTACAAATGCTCCTATAGTTGGTGGAGAAGAGGATGAGAAGCACAAGTGTTGTACCATCTTGTGATTACTGTTCATTCAATCTTACAAAAAAAAAAGTACAAAATTCTGTTAAGGCTCTGGAAGGGTTTTGGTTTCATCTCAAGAGAAGTAAATCACTTTGAATTGAGCAATAACTTTTCACACATTGTGAACCTGCAAAATGTGCGTGTGTTAATCAAACTATGCCATGGGACTAATACAATTAAGAAACAAAGTTGACACATTTCAAACAAATTAATAAACTGTTAAATGTTGATTTGTTATAAACTTGTACATAAAGGCTAACAACTTCAGATTTTCTTATTTATCTCAATTTATATATACAACTAAATATTTTGTTAATAATGATCAAATTTGTATTATTTTGGCTCGTTTTTGTACATGTCATTTATCACATGTTTATGGGATAGTTTGTACATTTTTAAGAACAAATGTTTAAATATTGGTCTCCCAGATTCCCCAAAAAAATAATTTTTTACTACTGTAATGAATGAAAAAAAAATGAGTAAAAATGCATGAACTACTGTTGGTTGACAATTTTTTTTATATTGTTCCTTAGTAATATTACTTTCCAATATGAGACTTACATTAGCAACTACAAAGTTGAACTTCACAGAGATACAGGTTTCATGTTGTATAACATTTGAGCTTGAAAACAATAGAGGCTGTACATCTCTGACCATAGATCTAAGATAAAATGTCATGCAGGGGACTAAAGAGAAATATGATGCATTATTATTCTTGATATGTTCTTCATCATTTGTTTTTAAATTTTGATTCCATTTGGACCAATCACTTTAAAACATTTTGATGAAAGTGAACTATAGCATCATCCGTAACTTCAATTATAACATGTACCACCACCAGGTTTATACATAGGATGTTGTAGCCTCTAAAAGGGGGCGGGGGAGTAGCTTATGTAATTTATAAGACAATTGTTTAATTTGTACTCATGATAAATCAACAATAGTGACTAGCAGATTGTCTTATATGTTGTTTTTTTTTATTAAAGCTGCATACTTCTTGAACAGCTTAAGGTCACTTCTGTGGCTTGTCTGCTTACTCTGTTCTGGATGAATTTCATTAGTGGGATCATGTCACTCCTGGGGCCTTAGCACTCTTATAATAGCTTCCATGTTTCAGTAGTCATACAGAGCATTTAGGAATTGTTGAGTAAGTTGGAAACATACTTATTAGCAACGCAACACCATCATGCAATAGTTGTACACTCAACACCATCATGCAATAGTTGTACACTCAATGCCATCATGCAATAGTTGTACACTTAACACCATCATGCAATACTTGGACAAAGATGGATTAAACTCTTAGGCAATGGACATAAGAATAACATTGTACACTGATTTTTGTTTTCATCTAGATGATTTATGGAAATTTTTTTAAAAATCACTTTGGGGTGTATGATGATCTAACAGATTTTTTAACAAAGTATTTTTTTTTTCCATCATGATGCTATGGGTAAGTTAAAATCTTAAAGCTATTTACATTCCGTAATGTGCAATGTTCACTTTTTCTTGTAGCAAGGTCATGGTTCTATCCTGGGAAAACTTTTTTTTTTGCATTTCATTAGCACAGAGCTAGAGTGAAGATGTCACTAATGCTGTATTGAACTTGATTATTTATTTCTTGAACACTAGCAGTGGAAGAATCTCTTCATTTTTTGCTCGTATCCTTTAATCTTGTTTTTCTTTGTTAATACCTGTTTACCTGGCTAAATAATCTTGTAGTTTTTGTTATTGTGTTTCTTCAAAGTTCTGGTGCCATTGTATTCCTGATCTTATGACCAGATGTAATCACCTGTGTTTATGTAAGTTGGTTAGCCTATGTCTAGAACATAGTGTTATTCTGATTATTTGTTCTATTGTAGGGTTGCAGAGCTGTTAATGTGGCCATTCCATACCCTCTAGTTTCAACATTGACTTCTTTTAATCTGACAATTTTGTACCAAATCCACTTTGACTCCAAAAAAACTGACCCAGCTCTGCAACCCTAATTAATATTAATAATTAAAGGCAATAATTAATGGTAATAAGATTAAAAAAAACAAAACTTGTCATAGTTGTTATAACATCTGAAGACTTATTACATAAACTATGTCTAATTAAATCATTATGAATCTGTTAAAAAAAACATTTTCACCTTCATTTTCTACTACTGGTAAATGTAACAGATTGATCACTGTACTTGACTAGCACATCACACTAATGGTTTGGCACATCATAGAAGTTGACCATCAAGTGTCCTTTGACTTATTAACATTATTATTATTTCATCATAGGTAACGTAGCTAATGTAAATAAAACAATGAGAAATGAATGACATTCTAACATCTGGCTGACTCTCTTCTACCACTGGGCATTCCACTGTGTTAGGCTTGATTGCAAAACAGGCTATTACATAAATCAAACTATTTCTTTATTTTGTATTTTATTTTATATGTCTTTTATAGACCCATTCTGTAATGCAGTTCTACTGGGGTAGCCCACATTAACCTAGCCTGACTCACATAGCTAGGTGCCTCACTTTGGAGGATACTGGGGGTATCCACTTCCACCTCACAGGAAAAAAAATGAGCAAGTGGCCTGCTTGACTTATCCACATTATAACAGATGCTGGAAGTGAAAAGAAAAGTTCGCCTTTCAGGCCATGCTGTGTAAATGATGTAAAATTCATCTGTTTCTTTTGCCCATGGTTACAAGTGTGTTATCGAGCTCTTTACCACTCAGCCACCACCACTCAAGTGATTACTATCCATCTCATTACCGTTCCAAGCATAGTGCAGGATATAGTAGGCGGGCTACTTCACCATGTATGGAATGCATATGTTGGTCACGCAAAAAAAAAAGGTCAATGACTTAAGCATTTACTTTACAAATTAACTTCATGAAATTAGGCTGCTTGAATTTTCTTTTTTAGTGTGTATGTATGTGTGTGACGTATGGTGTAATGCGACTACGATCATAATTTCCTTAATTCCCCCAATAGTGACTATATAGTATATTTGAAAACTCTGCCAGTTGTCTTTCTGAAGCCTGGTCTTTTCCTGTTCTCAGTGCCAGTATTGAGTGCAATCCTCAAAATATCTTCTTTTTTTTTATTCCTAGAAATAAGGAAATTTTTTGTTCATATTTTGACAGTAGCTTTAAACATTGGACATCTAGATAGTAAACTAGACTGTTGGTATTTTTCATTCATTTACTATTGAAATAATTTAGATTTGTACATACCAATCTTAAAACATTTTTTTGGTGTTAAATATTAGGTTGATGTCAATCTGGGCTTTTCGTATAATGTATGAAGAATGATTTTTTTTCTTATCTACAATGTATGCTGCACAAAGCCATTATTTCACTCCACAATCACAAAATTGCTTTTGTCCCAATGGATGGGTATAGCTACACATTTTAACTAGTAGCCTTAGTCATGAAAAAGAAACAAGACAAGATACTGTGTACACAGTTACACTTCATTGTGTAGTACATGAAGTTGTAACATTCAATGATTTTGTTAGAAACATCATCATCTGGATGTTTGTTGTATTCAAGATGTCAAAAGTGTCTTAAGTTTTTGTTTGTCTACATGCCTCATGTTTCCTAAAATTTGGGTCTATTGAATTAAGTGTGTGTGAATGTTACATTACACATGTGTGTTTAAGTGCTACAGGGTATACTTGTTAATTTTTTTTATTGTACTATATAAATTTCTGTCAAAATATCTTTAGTTGGCAAGTTACTGTATTTCTATTATTTATATGTAAAAAGATATTATGTGCAAACTTTTCTGGTTTTGATAAACCTGGGCTTAGAAAAAAGAAAATAGCTGCTAAAACTGAATTCATTCATTTGCATTTTTAGTTCATAGTTGTAAGCAGGGGTCAGAGGGAAAAAACTATCATCATTACAAGATATTCATTCATGCTTTAATGAAATGTTAGTCTAGTATCATCCATTAAGTAGTTATCACTTGCCATAAAATGTTTCAGCATGATTGCACTATTACTACATTGTTCATGGTGAGAGTCTAGCTGTGCCTTGCCCTATGTATTTAACCAAGAAACTCTTGATGACTTACTCTAGTTAGAATGTGTGTGCAGCAGCAGTACCAACCCAGGGAGTGACAATGAGGTTTTTATTTGGTCCACTCACAGGTGGACAGTAGAATGGAACAAGGAAAGAGGGCTACAATACAATATAGCTAGCATTGTTAGTAGCTGGAACTAGAGATACTGTTCTTTTTAAGCAATATGACACACTAAGTCATGAATAGGTTTAGTACACCCTTCCCATGTATTACACCAAACTACAGTGTCTTTAACTTAAACTCACTGTTTGACTTAAATCATATCATGAATAAAAAAAAAATAATTATCGGTTTTTAAATGACTAAAGGTTTATTAGGAGTGAACTGATGATGGGGACAAATGTGTGTTATTTGTTGGCACAGTTAAGTTCATTAGAGATGTAACTCTGTTTCTGTTTTCTTAGAAGTTGAGCAATGTATGGACCATCTACTTACATTCCAATCATTGTTTTACTTAACAATGAAAGATTGTATTTTAACTTGAACTTTATGTTTCAATGTTTGACTTGGAGTTTGTACAGCATGGTATGCACTTGTAATATCTCATGTTTCCATGGACACAGATTAAACCAATAGAAAACTCTTAGCATATTGTTTCTTGATTATTGAAATTGAATCATTTTTAGACATGTAAATCTAGAGACAAACATTTTATTTTATTTTGAACTTTCAAAAAAAAAAGATAAATGAAATTAATATTTGCATTTTAATGCAATAATTCTAATAATGTTAAATCTAGATTACAAAAAGTAACAGACAAGTGATGGCACAACCATCCATCTATGAGTGAACATAACTTCATTCTGTCTGAAGCTGTAACATACACCTGTTAGAACATTCTGAACATTGCACTAGTTGCTGTTTTTTTTTTCCAGCTCGTTCTCTATTGATCTTCTCCATGTTTCATTTAGCTTCCCTCCCTTTCTTTTAGCATTTGGTCTTCCTCTCACACTAGTTTGCTCTCTTTAGTCCTCTTCCAATTCCATCTTTTTTTTTTTTTTTTTTTTAACTGCTCTAACTGGTAGGTTGTGCATTATTTTTTTGTTATCCTTAAAGATAATGTTCGATCTATTGCATTTTGCTTTCTCCCAATAGAGGGCAACACTTTAAAAAAGTAAAGTTCTCCTTTCAGACCATGTGATCTAAAGGGCAGATGATGTTAAGGTCATCTGTTTCTTTTGGCCAACAGTTAATGGGCAGGCTGTTATGTGGCCAGCACAACAACCAACTGTTTTTACTTTCCCCAACAAAAGTCAGATATTCTAAAAAGCCTAAAATTCAAAATCCCAGTCTTCACTGAGATCTGAACCCAGGTTCAGAAGCCAAGCATCCCCATTATCACTTTTGAAGAGAACTATTTTACTTGCTTAGCTTATCTTGGAAGATTTAGAACACCAAAAGCTAGTTGATGTCATTGTTATATATTTGTACAATAAAAAAACACATGATTGAAAATGTTTAACACAGTATTATCAAACCAGCATTTTGCATCTGAACTGTAAGCTCTTTTGAAGCCAATGCTGTAAAATTAAAAAACAGAAGCATGCTAACCTTCTCATCTGCACTGCATAGTCATTCAGGCTATTGATCTAAACTTGGTTAAGTTAATATGATCTGTCTGAGATAGGACAATTTCAATTTTGGACATTAACCCATAAAATGTATAATAGTTTAGCCTCTAAACATCTGAATTGAAATTCCATTTTGTATGCACTCATTGTAAAACTGCTAAGCACTTAAAGGGTTAAAGGAAATTGATAGTGAGACACTTTTGTTAGGGTGGGACAGTGTCTGAAGTGATTTCTGTGGTTAGGAAAAAAGATATAAAAACTTTGACACGCTGGGAAAGAAAAAGGCAATTAAGGTTTACAGGAATACTTCAAATGATGCAAGTAGCTAGATTTTGATACACAATAATGTACTATGTGATGTAGAATTTGTATTTCATAATTATGTAGCATAATCATATCTATTTATTTTGCAATAAAATTCTTGTTTTACATATAATGACAATCAAAATAGTCTAAATACATATAGATTACTGAATATCCCAATAATCAAGTGAAATAATGAAAATCTAACTAGGAATGAGAATGTAACACACAAATCAGTCAAGTATTACTTTGAGTCTACATTTTTGACCTGGAAGATGTCACAACACTATGAACAAGTTGAGCAGCTCCTATACCAGACCCCCAGCTCAATGTAATGCCTTGACCACTATGTCCATAATTGTGAACTACCTGTAACAAACAGTTTTTATGCTGGTCATCTTTATAAGATTGAAATTTCTTAGTTTATTATTGACTTTTAACTCTAGAAGACTAGTTCATAATTTCCAACAAGGACTGTTTGATCTCCTTATTAAAGCTATACTGGTAAATAAATATTAATGGCAGACCAGAGAAACCCAAGGGACACTGAATGCTCTAATATCTGAACAGGTAAGAACTTAACAGCAATTAGCAGGAAACCCAGATATATCAGTGTTCTGCAAAAAATTAAGCATTTTGCTCCAATGGTATTGGAATTTTTTTTAACTTGCAATAATTTGTTGCCGTATTTCATGGAAGTACAACCATGTCAAGTAAAAGGATTGGTCACATCTACATTACAGACTCCTTTATACTAAGAAGAGAGGAGCCCCCATTGTGTAATATTTGTAAATATAACCTCAGTGTAGAGCACATTCTCCTTGGTTGTCTCAGATACCAGGATATTAGAAGTAAATATTCTTTCACAACCAACCTCAAAACACTGTTTGACAGCCTAGATCCTGGGAAAGTACTGGGTTTTATCAGGGAAGTGGGATTGACTGCTAGAATCTAAGTGAGCTGATTTGGGGGAAAGGACATATGCATACATATAATTACAACAGATTTTTATTAAAAACTTATTAACAAAAATTTTTAACGCTTGAATTATAAATAAACTGATTTTAATAATTAATTTGTAACTTCTATAGCTTTTAACTTTTTAACTATATTCGCTGAATAGAGGAAAGAATTCTAAGATAAATTAAGGGCATAACATGACCTAAATTGTGTCCATGTGCCAAAAATATTTTTTAAAATCTATAAATATTTCATTGTTAAAATAAACCCTTTTGTAACATTTAGTGCAAAACAATGACAAAATTTTTTCAGAATAATTTACTTATTCATCTATAAGTTAAGTACTAGGCATACACAGAGGCTTCTTATTAAAATTATCCATGGATACCAGCTAAGACTGACAGCTTGATGCAAGGATGAAACTGTACAGGTTCCTGGTGCACTGGTAGTTTCTCATAATTCTCATGCTGTGACTTTAGGATAACAAAGAAACTCAATATTTAGACTATATTTCACAGTTTGCAGCTCCTCTCAGACCTTGACTAAATGATCTAACATGTAAATAAAAGAAAAAACTTAATAAAAGCTAAAATTAATCATTTAGATCTTTATATCATTTAAGAAATACATGCAACACAAAAAAAATAATTTCTGAATACCATTTTTTTTCTTTAGCTCAGACAAACCTTTACTTCTGGGAAAAGTGCTTCAGCCCATGAAAGAATTCTTTCCCTTGTATCTTTTTCAGCTGTGAGACTGAAATTGTATTTCTCCCTTACTCCACCAATTATTAATTTGTCATCACTGCTCATAGGAATAATGTTGGTTAATGCTTTATTAGTAGGCCTAATAGTAGTAACATAATTTACATTTCAATTCATTCATCATAATGGCATTTTGAAAATAAATCTAGATTGTATCAAAACTTTTTAGCTGTAAAAGATGAGGTCATAATTGTTTACAATTCACATTCTTATGTGATTTTCAACTAAATTTCAAAGTGCTTGTGACTTGTGGAGTAGATGCTTCAGTTGTTTGTTCATTTGTGTCAAGGACTAGACTTATTTAAGCTCATCAGATAATTTATATCAATTAGCATTTAGGATTCCTACATGAGACAACAATGTTTAGAAATTTGTTCCCATTGGCTTAAGTCTCCAAGTCTAGTGGAGGAGGAGTAACTGAACAATGGTCTAATATAAAAACATTTGAAAGTAACATTTACATCAGGTACCTAATTATTGTATGCAGTTATGCACCATCCATGTTTATATAAATTACATTTTATTTTATATTTATACCTTGGCAGATGATGTAAAGTTTAACGGGGGTATCATGAGGCCAGCACAATGCTTTCTCAACTAATGTCAAGTACCAAATAGAAATGGTTGGACTCAAAGACATTCTGAAAATCTCAAAGTTCTAAATCCCAACATTCATAGAGATTCAAACCAGGAAGCCAAATACTTTACCAATCAGCCATCACATATATAAATATGAGGAAAAAAAATTTTAAAAAGAGGTTTTTAGCAGCAAACCTAAATCACATCATACATGCCTAAACAATGTGTGTATAAAAATGATATACTTTATTACCCAGTTTTATTCTTGATTCAAATGCTAGAGTTGACTATTAATGTAATTGTATTAAACAATGACAGAAAGTGGGCAACTATAAATAAAAAGTTAAGAAACAAAACAACAATTTACAGTTTTAAGAGACTAGTCACCCAACTATTTCCATCAAAGCAAATTAAACTATCACATCACTGTTGTTCATTTATTTACCAAATACTCATATTTAATTTTGTTTGAAAATTAAATTTTGGCTCAGAGTAAAGAAAAACATATATGCCTAATATTTGAAAAAAAATCAACAAATAAACAGCTAAACAACTACTTGACTCTGTGCATTTTAATTAACAAAGATATATTAAACAGTGAATATATGGACCATAGATATAAAACATGCAAAACATATGCCAGCCTTAAATTCTCAGTTATCCTCTTTTAGACAGCTGCAATAATCAGGCTGGATTTAAGGGAGGGCAGGCAGGGCTACTACCCATGGGGTTCCACAATAGAGAAAAAATCCATATTTTGATGGGCCAGCAACTTTTTTTTTTTTTTTTTTTGTATATTTCTTTTTCTTACTTTTACCAACAATACTTAAAATCTTACATTTGGCAACACTGTCATGGTTAAATATGTCTGCTTATGCAATGCTTGTAATATATTCTGCATGTAGGCCTATTACATTGAGTAAACCCCCAAAATTATTTTTTTTCTTACTAAAATAAGCATATCGAATATTATTTTTTTTAATGAATAAAAAATTTGATTTTTTGACAAGTACAATATATTTGTTTTTTTTTATAATATGACATGCTTTTAGATGTTAGTATTTTTACTGATAAGAGGATTTTTGTTACAGCTTTTGAAAAAAGAGGGGGGGCTCAACAAAAATTCAGCCTTGGGGCCTCCACATACTTAAATCTGGCCTTGGTAAAATTTAGTATTTTCCAAATAACAAAAGTCTACTTATTATCTGTCTTTCAAATATCTTTAATAGGTCTAGTTTTTTTTTGTTTCTGTGTGTGTTGGTGTTGAATGTATGACAGGAACAGAGATAAGGTAGGGCATCTATTTATATCTTCAAATACCGTTAATCAGTTAAAAGTCTCAAAGATGAACTTGAACTGACATTTCCTAAAACATTGAGATCTTTGACCTAATAGTTCTAAATAGCCTGA